ACTCTGGTCCACGGATCGTGTCTGCGTGAGCGTATTTTATTATACTGATTGAGACATAGTTGCCCTTTATTTCAGAATGGACCTAGCCCGGATCTCTTTGATACCGCGTTGTACTGGACGACAAATTATTATATTTTACCTTTTGTGTGAAATTCCATTGAAGCCGTTTTCACTGGTGTTCGCATTTCCTTTCAAGTGACCATGTCTGAATTCAAAAAAAATTAGGACTACCAGTTTAGTCGGTATCCCAAATAAACAAAATTTATGGGATTAATATTGTTATAGCGTATTATGCTTTGATTCAGGCAGGTCTAGCAGCCCTGGATGAGCCAATATCGAGGGAAGATGCGAAAGATTTCGAGAAAATGGCTTATGTGCTCGCTAAACAAAAGCCAAACTGGGAACCGGGAACGAAAAGCGGGTGAGCGTGGCAGAGAATAAACTGGAGGAATCTGCTATTCGTGATCGTGTCCTGATTTAGATACCATGCCATCACTTTCGGGTGGATTGTTGACCAAATTGTGCGACGAGCCGATCCCAAGGGCAGATCAGTGGGACGTTTCTTCAAGGAGGAAGTAGCCGACAAATACGGTAATACAAACGGTTTTCGCCCGCCCTTGTATGGCGTATTTGAACATAAATTCGGGTCATTTAGGAATCGATTTTCATATTGGACTTCCAAGTTCTGAAGAGCATACGGTGTCAAGGCTTTCTATGCCGTCTACGGCTCATCTCCTGAAAGAGATTGTTCATGATCCAAGGTAAGACCGATTAAGAACGATTCAAGTATTTGACAGGCGCATGCCCTTAATTTCACACATAAGGTTAAGAAGGATAGAATGAAATAGAAATGAAATAGAAATAGAAATAGAATGATTAGATTACTCAATTTCTTTCCTAGATGCGCCGCACACTCGACTTCCATTCAGCATTGTAGTGGTAACATAGCACGTGCTATACACTGACTCGCAGGGTTCGGCCGATGATTAGTTTGATGTTTTATCATTCTAAATAAGACTGGTACCAAGACTGTTTAAGACCTCGGCGGGATTGAGGCTGGTTGGCATGGAGGGCGCACGACTCAGGATTTCATTCACGAACCATGCGCGTAGTGAGCAGCGCCACTATACCATTTGCACCTGGATTTCACGGCATGACTTCGAAATTCTCAAGATGTAAGGAGTGGGGAACGGTCAGGTGCACAAATATTATTATACTGAGTTTCAAATGAAAAATAGAAATTGGAAGGAAAGGAGTATCCGAGTACTTTTCGTGTAACTGCTTCCTAAACAATACACTTCACGCAGTAGGTCTCACGAAGGACTCCCGTCAGTCGCTCGAGAACTCTTCCCTTTAGAGTTGCATTTGCTCTCAAATTCCGCCTGCGACAGAGAAACGTGGCCCTATTATTACGTACTCACCAAAATTATAAAGAACCAATCCAAAAATATCTACAGCTAAACATGACCATGATTTTTGCAGAGTCCTAATTGTTCTCGGCATCCTCCATCTCCGACCTCCAACTTCAATCGCAAGAAAAGTTCGTGAAAATCCCTCAATGGTTCAAATTGGAGCAGGTACAGCCAGTTAGCACTTTCTGATCAATTGTATTACTCGATCTTCGGTGCAGGATACACCGAGTAGCCTGAACTAGTGAAAAGACACTCATAAGATAAAATAGAGCACGAAAATAGACGGGAAAGAGGCGGGACAGAAGACAGGGGCAAACAGGGAATATTATTGGGTAGAACATATGAATGTGAGGAGATACACTCTTGAAAAGGCAAAAAACAATACCAATTCATTCATCAATTCGTTCAGACTCCTTGTGAGCTTAGATTTTTCTCTTTCAATCAATGTGCTGAGAGCCCGACCGGCTTCACCCGACCTAATTTTGAGGAAGGGATCCTTTTTGCGAAATGCCGCCAGGAGGAGGAGGGGCGGGCTGGATATGGTGAACATTAATTCTGAGCATATTTAGGAAGAACATTTTTTGACAAGTGTCTCCCCCTCAGTCAGTGCCCTTTTATTGTTGGAAGATAGGAGGCAACTTTCGGTATGAGCGTGGCAGGCTAAGGAACAGGCCCAGGAGTGGTTTAAATGGAGATGTCTTCCTAAAGGGGAGGCATTTTATCCTAAAATTCGACCAATGTAATGGTTAACCCAGACAGGACTCACTAACTCACTTTAGGATGTGAATACATTCAACGATCCAGAGCTTCACAGGTATGGAACAAGTCGCAGCTCTTGGAATCACTAAAGCTCGAGATATGGCGCGACTCTTCTCACTTATGCTC